TACACGTACGCGCATGCGTTCCTATTTAACTTTCATTTACGACGCTCATAACGGGAAAGTTAATGCCTGCATTGATTCATCTGAACGTACCTTGACAGCGTTGAAAGCTTTGCCTTTCAGAAAAGGTCTCTGCCAAAAACAACATAGTATATTACGTCACACTTCGACAAATAATGTTTGTTTTGTGTCATATCAAATCGTTATCAGTCATTTAATGCCGTAATTTTATTTTCTTGTAAGCATTAATAATGAGTTTATAAAAAAATATATTACTGGCATTTCTTTTTTTCTAAATATGTATTACTGGGATTTTTTTTTTCTGTATTGGGATTTTTTTTTTTCTATTTCTTAAGATTTATTGCTGGTAATTTTTTTTCTTTTTCCAAAAATATATTGCTGGTAATTTTTTTTCTTTTTCTAAAAATGTACTGCTAGTAAATTTTTTTCTTTTTCTAAAGATTAATTGCTGGTAATTTTTTTCTTTTTCTAAAAATGTACTGCTAGTAATTTTTTTTCCTTTTCTAAAGATTTATTGCTGGTAATTTTTTTTTCTTTTTTCAAAAATGTATTGCTGGTTATTTTTTTTCTTTTTCTAAAAATGTATTGCTGGTAATTTTTTTTTTCTAAAGATTAATTGCTGGTAATTTTTTTCTTTTTCTGAAAATGTATTGCTGGTAATTTTTTTCTTTTTCTAAAAATGTATTGCTGGTAATTTTTTTTTCTTTTTCTGAAAATGTATTGCTGGTAATTTTTTTTTCTTTTTCTGAAAATGTATTGCTGGTAATTTTTTTCTTTTTCTGAAAATGTATTGCTGGTAATTTTTTTTCTTTTTCTGAAAATGTATTGCTGGTAATTTTTTTTTTTCTTTTTCTAAAGATTTATTGCTGGTAATTTTTTTTTCTTTTCCTAAAAATGTATTGCTGTTAATTTTTTTTCTTTTTTTAACGATTAATTGCTGGTAATTTTTTTTCTTTTTCTAAAGATTTATTGCTGGTAATTTTTTTTTTTTTTTTCTGAAAATGTATTGCTGGTAATGCTTTTCTTTTTCTAAAGATTTATTGCTGGTAATTTTCTTTTCTTTTTCTAAAAATGTATTGCTGGTAATTTTTTGCCCCAATAATGTAATGATAGTAATTTTTTTTTCTTTTTTCAAAATGTATTGATGGAAATTTTTTTTTTCAAAAAATGTGTTGCTGGTATATTTACAATAAAAATGTATTTTCATACTTTCATAGTGTTTTGATCCCAATTTGGGGGTTAACTATTTTCCCATAGCTGGGACCCTAACAGGTGTTACCACTCCGGGTCAGAGTGGAACTGGAACAACATCAATTAAGAGGTGGTTCTATACTCCTCAAAATCACCATCCCGATCATAGGCCTTGCTGCCGGATGTAGTTTAACATCATACCCAGGACAACAGACAAATGCAAATCAGATCTACAGTTTACATCAATATATGTGCATGTCGCGTCCATGTTTGCATGTGTGTGTGTGTGTGCGTGTGCGTGTATCTCTAATGTGAAAATATTAAATCAGAAATATATTAATCGACAGGCAAATTTATTTGTTTCCCTCAATAGCAGTATATGGGTTTGCCTCTCGACCAGTTTACACTCCTCCCCGGTCTATTGAATAGGAATAGAGGTTTATCGCTTGTCCCCTGTTTGGGAGTGAGCTTTCGGTTTCTTTGGGAAATCTTTTCATTCTCTTTCATTCCCAATGACTCTTTGCGTCTTAGTGACATTATGTCCTTGCTTGAATCAAACTGATTAAAAAAAAATTAATATAATTATAATGAATAAAAAATATATTGATATTATTTACATTATTTACATTATTCGGGCTGTTATCCTCATCTCCACTGCCGTATTCACAACGTTTCGGCAGTTGTACGCTCCGGACATCTTCAGGTAATTTAAATTTCGAACATGGCCCAGCGGATAAATATTTTTTTTTTTTACATCCAGTGACTAGACCCCAAAAAGTTGTGAGTTCAATACCAGGCTACAGCAGTGTTGAACAAAAAAAAAAACAAAAAACAAACAAACTTGGAGAGTTGAGTTAAAGGGAAATAATCGAGGCATCCGGGTGAGGTATGGCACGTGGAACTAGAACAATCTACCCCGGTAGACTAAATAAAGGGTTCAGTTCGAAATTCCAATAACCTGAAGAAGGCCGGCGCGTACAACGGCTGAAACCTTGTTAATATGGCAATTAAGATGAGGATAACAGTTCGAATAATGTAAATAACCATAATACCTCATTTCAGAGATACAGACAAAAAACATATTGATAAGCACGTAGAATAAGATGAATAGACCATTGTGTGTATTTGGGCTGAAAATTTTTCATATATATCATTTAGGTTACAACTTTGGTTGAAGACGATCAAAGGTACCTTTTGTGTCAAGAAGAAGCTTTTTTTGTTGTTTGTAAATTTTCAGCAATGTTCCTCGGTTCGGCTAAAGGATATATATATACAGTGTAACACGGATATAAGAGACTCGGATATAAGAGAAACCCGGATATAAGAGAGATTTTATTTGGTCCCAAATTAGAGCCTGTGTTAATGTATATAAAATAGACCAAACCCGGATATAAGAGAAACCTGGATATAAGAGAAACCCGGATATAAGTGACTTTTCTCCGGTCCCGACAACTCTCTTATATCCGGGTTACACTATATATATATATATATATATATATATATATATATATATATATATATATATATATATATATATTAATTAATTTAAAATATGATTTCTGCGCTACACTGTAATAACCATGTTTAAAAAACTGAAGCTAAAAATTAAAGCTAAAAACTTCAAATTTAATTATATAATTCAATTAAAAGCATCAGTTCTGTTTCATCTTCAAGTGAATTTTGGAATAAGTTATTTTTAAATATACTGAGTTTTAAACGAACATATAAATTCATAATTTCCTGTTTTCAAAGACACAGAGAAATTATGAATTTATACATTTAGAACTGATTAAATTTAAAAATAAGTTATTCCAAAATTCGCTTGAAGCGGAAACAGAAATAATGCTTTTAATGTAATTATATAATTAAATTTGAGGTTTTTAGCTTCAGTTTTTGAAACATAGTTATTAATATGTAGCGAAGAAACCACATTTTAAATCAGTTAATTTATAATATTTATGGTCTGTAAATTTACAATGAGCACTGTTTTGTAAAAATAAAAAACAATATCAAAAGAACACAGCATTATATATCAGACTGTTCTTTCTTATATCTATCTATCTATCTATCTATCTATATATATATATATATATATATTGATAGATAGATACGTAGAGTTAATATATATATATATATATATATATATATTTTATTTATTCACATATATATACACACACACACACACACACACACACACACACACACACATATATATATATATATACAAAATTGGATAATTTCATGTATAGTTTCATATATATATATATATATATGTTAGATACCTGAATAATTTGGACTTTATTAATCCATTATCAGGGAGGTATTTTTTCTATATATCCAATGGCAACTAATTTAAGTTGTATAAAATATATGTAGATAAATATATAAATATATACATACAATTTTACACATTTTATTTACAGAAAAGAAAACACTCTTACGAACTCAAGAAACATCACATAAAAAGATTAATCACAGCAGTATCAGTCTATATTTCTGAGATGAGGTATTATGTACACTATTTACTTTATTCGGACTGTTGTCCTCATCTTTGTCGCCATTTTTATTACAACGTTTCGGCCGTTGTACACTCCGGCCTTCCTCAGGTGGTTGGAATGTCGAACTAAACCCTTTATTTCGCTCACTGGGGTAGTCTGTTCGGCTTCCACGTGTCATGTTTAATGGATGTCAGTTATTAGTTATTTCCTGTTAATTCTCCTCACAAAAATCTCCTGAGCCGATCAAGCATAGAAATGAATACAATATGGCAACCATTAATAAGGAGTGCCAGTGAAAATCGATAATAAATAAATTGCAATATGAGCTATGGTAAAAACATACAATGATAACAGCAAAAATTCCAACATGAGCACTGGTAAAAAATGGTTGCGGAAGACATTAGGCTTATAATATCCATAAATTCATACACAGATGTCCTCAAGGGCACATGGTACAGTGGAGAAAAGTGTTGGTTAGATCCAGTGACAGAACCCAAAGAGTGTGAGTTCAATACCCGGTTAAGGCAGTGGAGAACTTTCTGAGGGAAATTAACAGGAGATAACTGACAACTGACATCCATTAAACATGGCACGTGTAACTAGAACAGTCTACCCCAGTGTGTCCTCACACCAAACCAAGGACAAAAAATATCTTCAAATGCTTCGTTTTTTAGTTAAGTTTAAAGAAAGATTACAATAGATGGCGCTATGTTGCCATGTTTGTCATTCGTGGCTAGCAATATTTATTATAACGTTTCGGCCGTTGTACACTCCGGCCTTCGTCAGATGGTTGGAATGTCGAACTGAACCCTTTATTTCGCACACTAGGCTAGACTATTCTAGTTCCACGTACCATATCTAATGGATGACAGTTATAAGTTTTCTTCTGTTAATTCCCCTCTCCAAGTTCTCCAACGATTTAACTTAGCATTGAACTCACACTCATTAGATCCAGTGACAGGACCCAAAGAGTGTGTGTTCTCATACCACCTCAGAAATATAGAAAAGATATATATATATATATATATATATATATATATATATATATATATATATATATATATATATATATATATATATGTATGTGTGTTTTTGCACACGGCCGTGTGTGTTTGTATGTGTCCATTTTGCCCGAAGACAAAGATAATCCAGATATGTTTCTATTTTGTTCGGGAGCTGAAGCAAAGCAATTACGATGCCATCCTTTGTAGAGGAATTAAATTTTACGGTTAATAAAGAAATTCATTTTCTTCGAATTTTCTTTGCCGACAAGCAACGTTTTCTTTTTCGGCACGGAATGGGTTTCATCTTTGCCTGACGTGGACTAAAAAACATTAAAAACAAAAAAACAAAAAGAAGTAAATGCCTGCGTCATTTGTTTCTTCATGTCTTTTGGGATTTTTTTATTTTATTTTAAATCTCAACTAATGGATTCGTTACCATGAATTTAAAAATGATATTGTTTTTCACATGTTCCTGCTTGAATGAACTATTATTCAAAGAAGCAGACGATTTCTCACTGAAACCATACTGAAGCTAATTTCTACAAAAACTGCGACATGGACACGAAAAACAAAACAGATAGATGTTTATGCAGGGTGCAATGGGTAAATTATCGCCATTTTATATTTTTAATTTCGCGCATGCGCGTTGTTTGTTTTTGATTTTGTCGACTGCGTAGTATTGGGTCCTGTCTGTGAGAAAAAAGACGCAATTTATTCCGCCAGAAATTTAGAAACGGCATGCTGTACTGCTTGATATTCGTGCCGAAAGCTCAAATACAAACATTTCAGAGTGTTTGGGTGTTAATATGAGGACAGTTCAGAGGATTTGGAAAGAGTTGGATGAGTCTAATGGTGATTACGAAAGTGTTTGGAGGGATCACTAGTGATGGCAACGTTAGGCCTCCAGTCATTTTCCTACAGGGCCTCAGACTCAATATGGAGGCCTACATCAAGCGACTGCCTTGGTATATCTGGCACCGAGTCTCTTCAACATGCGACACAAGCAGGAGAACACTGTGATGGCTCTCATACAATGTCTGTGACCAGATCACCCCTTAACTACCCGGACTGCAACCCCTTGATTAGTATGTCTGGAGCGTAGTTGAGCGAGAGATCAACAAAACATCTTGTAGCATCCAACATGAACCGAAAAAAATGATTATATCAACATTTACCAACTTAAACAAGGGGGATAGTCCAGAAGAGTTGCAGGAGTTTCGGAAATGGTATGGAAGCCGTGTTTGAAGCCAATGCCTATTTTGTTGAATAAATTCACTCTTTAGTATTTCAAGATTTTTTGGTGTCATTTTGGTAAATATATCTGTTAAAATGAGATGCCAGTGTTATTTCATTTCTGCGCAATTTTAACGACAATTTATCCATCGCAATATATATATACTGTATTTAATCAGCAATCCTTTATTTCTGCATATTTCATTAAAAACGACAGACAAGGTTCTACGGTCAAGCTTTTTTATTTAATTTTCCCACCAAATTAGAATATTTCTCCATGAAGTAAATAACAATGATAGTGAACATACAGTCAAAAATTATATAAATATTTTCTACAAAACCAAAAGCATATTAACTACAAACAAGACGAATTTTCACTTAAAAATATTATAAAGATATACAGTACCCCAATCGACCCGAATAAAAAAATCTAATTATCTACGATAAAAGATTTAAGACCGCTAACCTTATCCTCAAAAATAACAACACCAGCAAAATCAAAATGACAACGAACAAACATCATCTATGAGTTCAAATGGCCCTTAAAGGACTATATTCCTAATTAAACCGAATTCATAAATAATTACATCGGTCACACGACTACATGCCTATCCAGACGCCTTACGTTACATCTATCTGACCACATCTCTATTAGAAGCCATTTAAACACACACACACAAAATTACCAGACTCAATCTGACAAATACTAGTAGAAAACACAAATTTTATAACCTTATGCACTTGAAAAAAGATTAAAAATAATGGAAGCCCGAATAATAAAAAAGAAAAAGTCAACATTTAATAATATTAACTACGAACACGGCGACAATGTGCTGTGTTCGGAAAATAAAACACCACTATAACATACTAAAAGCATACACATAATGTACACACTCGTTTAAACTGAAAAATAAAATCATCCTTGATAATGGCTAAAAGTATAGCCGAAAGCACTCGAAAATTCAGAACATTTGCGCAGTTTCTACACTGTGTCCAAAAAAGAAAGCTGTTGTGTGAACACAAGAAAAATTAAATAAAAAAGCTAACCAACCTTTTGTCTGTCATATGCATATATATATATATATATATATTATATATATATATATATATATATATATATATATATATATATATATATATATATATATATATATATATATTCAAAGCCTGCTGAGTTAGTATGAAGACTGATTAAATACAACTCAGTCCCACTAATGAGTTGTTGCACAAAGTCGGGATTATTATGTAGTACCTTTCCACCAGGACCAATGGAAAGAGGGTTCGGGTACATTGTTTTTCTCAATCTAGTCTCTATCCGAAGACAGAGTCCGACTAAGTCACGCTTTGCCCGAGGCCGGAGGTCTTGTCACCCTCTGCCCGAATATGGAGGTCTTGTCACCCTCTGCCCGAAGACGGAGGTCTCGGCACCCTTTGCCCGAAGACGGAGGTCTCGTCACCCTTTGCCCGAAGACGAAGGTCTTCTCACCCTCTGCCCGAAGACGGTGGTCTTGTCACCCTCTGCCCGAAGATGGAGGTCTTGTCACCTCCCCGCCTGAAAACAGGTCTTGTCAAGCCTCTCCACCATGCTCCAAAAACAGAAGAACTAGTCATGGCTGTCAGGCAATTTCTGCAGCCACATCACCCTTACATCTGACCACCTAACTCCTCAGTCGGCAATCCTCTTATTGATTATTAGGCGTGTAGCACAGAGAGAGAGAGAGAGAGAGAGAGAGAGAGAGAGAGAGAGAGAGAGAGAGAGAGAGCAGCAAAACAACAAAGATGAACTGAAGGCAATAATTATGGCAGCATACACCATGTTAAACAAGGAGATCGTCCAAAAGATATGCAGAAGATTCCAAAGTAATCTGGAGGCCTATAGCGATTTTATTGAATGAATGTTTTTAGTCTTTAATATTTCAAGATATTTTTGTGTAGTTTTGATAAATATATCTGTTAAAATGTGATGTCAGCGTTATTTTCATTTTTTTTTTTTTTTTGCATAATTTACACGACAATTTATCCATCGCACCCTGTAGTATGTACGATTTTCTAGATTTTACTTCTGAATTCAGGGAAGAAAGATGATTTTTAATATTACCCGTATTTTAAAGATCTGAATAGCTATTATAACATGACTTCGTTGTCAAGCTTTTTGAATTTTCCTATACTTGTATTTTGATTGGTCATTCTAGCTTTCATAACAGCATTTTCCCCTTGTGAAGGATCGTTAATTAATTTGAAACTTTTAAAAAAAATTTATTTTACATTCAATCATCATCACTTGATAAGACACCGAAAAGCTGGAAACAAATGGCTATTTTGTAGTGATTTTATAAATATATTTATGTTATAAAATTTTTTAAATATATATATATATATATATATATATATATATATATATATATAGGTAACTATATTCGTCTCGAAAAACCTTCGAATTTTTGATTGGCCAATAATCAAATCAACCACGAAGGAAAGAAAGGTTTTAAAAAAAAAAGAGCCAGGAACATGAAAGTCTGTCGAAAAAAAAAATCGCACAGATACAGGTTCAAAGCCCAAAAAAAAAACCCTGATACGAGTAAACAAATCAACTAACAAAAGAGCTCAATACAACCGCAGAGCAGACCTAGATAAACCTAGTGAGCCAGATAAACCACCCAGGTTTATATATATACATAAAAAACTGGGTATATATATATATATATATATATATATAATAAAAAAATAAAAAGGTTAAACACTAATATTCCATGGTCATAATTTATTCCATTGGAATCGTAAATACGATCCAAATCATCAGACCTACAAATTCAAAATGAAACAGAAAAAACAACTCCGGAAATCAAAAAGAATTTAGAGAAAGTGGGTATGAGGAGGAGGACATGAAACCTTAACAGAGAGAATTTTGGAGATGTGGGTGGGTGGATTTAAAAGAGGAGAGAAAGAAAGTCGACGAATGTCTAATACATAAAGATACATTCATAGTGACATATACACACCACAGACAATTCAGAAGGGAAAAAAAAAAAAAAAAAAGAAAGGGGGGAGAGAGATGGGACGAAGGAAAATAAAATTGTGTTTACTTAAAGGGCCGCTTTGTAATTGGGAAAATTAGTATAGACTACAGTTAGAATCAAATATAAATATATGAAGATGAATATAACGATTGTCTCATTCCGCAAGGACCAAATATTTCTATGTTCAAAAACACATATTAATACACACACAAAAAACCTATACAAGTAGGTACATACACTTAGGCATGTACTCACACACACACCAGACATACGTGTACATACACATGCACATACATACACACATACATATATATATATATATATATATATATATATATATATATATATATATATATATATATATATATACACAAATATATATATATATATATATATATATATAAAAACCTAAAAATATATTCATATATCCACACATACACATATTCATCTATATTCATATACACACACTTTTCACATACATATACACGCATACATATGCCCCATGTATATATTCATACATACATACACATACATACACATACACACATACATATACATACATACATACACACATATATATATATATATATACATATATATATATATATATACATATATATATATATATATATATACACACATATATATACATCCACGCACACACATACACACATATATACACACATATATACATACACACATACACACACATACACATACACACATATACACATGCAAATACATACACATACATATATATATATACACATGCAAATATATACACACATATGTATATATATATACACATGCAAATACATACACACCCTTATGTATATATATATACACAAATACATACACACATGTATATATATACACATGCAAATACATACACACCTTACTCTGTCCTAGACATTGAGTTCTACTGGATCCTTCCTCTTGGAAAATTTTTTTCTGAAAATATACATGTATGGGAATTTTTAGATATATTTTTTCATATGTATGTATATTTTCCACTAATATTATCTATATATATATATATATATATATATATATATATATATATATATATATAATATATGAAAATATATAGAAAATAGGGAAGGAACTTTAGGTAAAAGGGAAAAAATTATGCAACTGTAGAAACTGTAGAAGACTGCCCATTAGAAAAATAAATGTTGTATTAATTGGTATAACAATGTACTATTTCATCCATACAGAGAGCCCTAGCACTAATATGATATACATTGGGTCCACGAAGAATAATCTTAAAGATAGATGGCGGCAGCATAAGTTATCCTTTAATAATATAAACAAACGAAATCAGACTTCACTATCAAAATATTTTTGGCACCTGAAGGAAACAAATAAGACACCAAAAGTTAAATGGAAAATTATTGACAAGGCTAGAATATGTAAAGCTTTGGGATGACCCATGCCCTTTAGCCCCATGAAAAAATTGCACATCATTAAACTTCTAAATAATAATAATCTATTAAATAATAGACACGAGTTAACGGTTTTTGTAGGCATCGTCAGATTTTTGGTTTGAATTATTAGATAAAAAAATTTATATAACTTGTTTAACAAATAGCCCAATCATCAGATTCATAGTAGGAATAATTAACTACAAACATGCATACAACATAACACACTTCATAATCCATAGCCTAAATTAGTAGTTTAAATACCTTACATATAAGATAACCCTTAAGATTATGAAGTCGTCAAAAAAACAAACGTTACGAAAATTTTTTTTTTTTTATATGCACAATTCCTTTCATAATAAAAAAAAATAAAATAAATAAATAAATCTCCATAGACAAGCAAACTAGACGATGGCCAATACATCTTCCGTTTCATTTTTGACACCCCCACCTTTTCCCCGACTTGATACCTTGAAAGTATCTCTATACCGCTACTTAATATAAACACCCTACACTCGCCACCCAATTTAGACAATTCACCATAGCTGTTACCATGGGGATTTTGATTTCAATTTTAAAACAAGTAAATTTCAGATATACGTTATTCCAACAAAATTTCGGCATTGAAGATGGAACGGAGCCCATTTTACTTTTCAACTCAAATTTAATTTAAAGGATTATATTGAAGTTTTCGGCTCTAGTTTTGAAACATGAGACCTCTTATGTAGCGATTTGGAATCATATTTTAAATAAATAATTATATATATATATATATATATATATATATATATATATATATATATATATATATATACAGGGCTTCCAGTCACAAAACATAAAATAACTGTTGAAAATTGCCACACTTCAGGGTGTAGAAGATCATGGCTCTCGACAACATCCTATCCTTTGCAGCTCTTAGTACGATGTGTCACTGTCTTTCCCGCGTCTTGGAAATCTCCAGCAGCAACTCCTCTGAATTAGAGGTTTTGAGAAGCAAGGAACCATCTCTTAATTGCTGTTGTTCCCAGGACAAACCTAACTCTTATCGTAGCGCCAGTTAGGGTCCTAGCTATCGGCAAATACTGAACCCCCAAATAAAAACAAAACTCTATGAATGTATAAAAATACATTTTCATAGTAAAAAACACAGCAATACATTTTCATAGTAAAAAGATTACCAGCAATACATTTTTTACTAAAGAACATTACTAATGCACACATTAAATTTCGGTATTGAATAAGATGTTGATATGCCTCTAAAGGAACAAACAAACAAACGATCTTTCTCATTCCATGCACTGCCATCTCTTTAGAGAGGTTTCTTATCTAGGTGATTGCTTGTTCCCCACTGTACCCCTTGCCTTCAATATGCCTTGTGAGTGTCGCATTTTCCAAACCCATCTATCTATCTATCTATCTATCTAAATAAATATATATATATATATATATATATATATATATATAAATATATATATATAAATGGAAGAGGTTATAGTAGTTCTAACATGTTCTTCATCTCATCATATGTATATATGTGTGTGTGTGTGTGGGTGTTGTGTGTGTGCGTGTGCGTGTGCGTATATTTGTGTGTATGTATCTATGAGAAAACATACACATATATATGTATATAAAAATAGGTGTAAATAATAACCTATTGTTTACATATATACATATCTAGTGTAATTGCATATCTTTTAAGGATCCCATATATATATATATATATATATATATATATATATATATACGTAATATATTTTCTGTGTATATATTATTTTTATAAATAATTTTTTCAGTAATTTTAAATAAACAGCATTAATTACCTTTACCTGCCTGAATGTTCAAAAAATGCGTTTTCCGACAGGAATTGAAACCGTCATTTGATCAGACGTGCTATACCATTTAGCTACAGAGAAGCCTCTAGTTAGCAAAATCCAAATTACTGTTTGCATATATATATATATATATATATATATATATATATATATATATATATATACTGTTACAGAATCAATCTTTTGAAACATTTTCCAAGAAACGGTTTAAATTAATAAAACAATTATAAAAAAAAAGCTAAAAATATAGACCAAATTAAGACATAAATTAAAAATAGAACAC